GTAAAACGGTCTCCATAGCCTCAAACTTCAAGAAATGCCTTATATACAGACCGGAAGTGGCGGAAGAACGTCATTTCAATTCAGGTAAAAGGAGCCGTGCACGGCAAATGCCAGAGGCCGGCTTGTCTCGTAAGAACAGCGCTTATCTCAAGCGACTGTAGCGTGCCCCGAGAAGTTTGCGTGGCGCCCCCTTACGGCGAACCGGGGTGACGTCACGGCGAGGACGGAATTTTTCCCCGACTCGTCCCGTTCGCCCTGTGGAGGCTGTGACGACGTTAGCTGTCGGCGCGCTCGTTTCTATTTAATTAATGTTTTTTTGTGCGCGTTTTTTGTAGGAAGTGTAAATTTTCATATGTGGTTTTATTGAGGCACGGCCTGTAGCTGCAGGCGAAACTTCAACCAACATATCAGGCATGGTTGACAGGGCAGGCAACGCATGAATCGCAGCTGGTATGTAAAATTGAATTGCAGGAGCTGATCACTATAGATTTACATCTCACACAATGAATGCTGCCGATGGTGTGAATGAATTTGCAGGTTATGTATACCATTTCGTTTTTTTTTTTTTTTTATCTCTGTCTCTAAACAAAAACGCCGAAGCAGAACAGCTGCATGCTGTTCGAGCAACGTGTTACATATAGTCTGGGCTATAAAGAGAGAATCACACGTGAGACAACCCAAGTACAGGGGCAAAGTAAAGAAAGAAGGAACATTTATTTATTTAAATTGCTCGCATTTGACCTTTGCCGGATTCAGATAGTATTTCAATGGACACAACTGGTGGTGTCTGTGGTCTTGTTTATATAATCCCTCAAGTAATGTACAACAAACGTAAGCGACGTGTCTAGCCCGTTACTAGTCCCTTATGCTCTAAAATTTATATTTTGTTTAAATCAAATTGTCCCGAAGATAAAATACCAATAGCTTTTCTCACGCAAACTGTCACCCTTCAAAGGTTCCACATTTTCTGCTACTAGTGCAGCATCTACCACTGGACAGCCATTCGAATGCTTGCTGTTCCTCCTGTTTTCCTCTGTTGTCAGAAAGTCCAGCTGAGTTTGGAGGCGAGGAAGCTTTTGTGGACCTGCAGCAGTGTCTCTTTTAACTGGAAATGACAATTCAAACTAAACGGTGTATTTTCCTAATACACGAGGCTGGAATAAGGAAAGAATGTGCGGAAAAAGTTGCGCATATTTTTGGCAGTTCAATACATCACATACAAGCAACTGGGGGCAATTCGGCCGTTTTTCCTGCTACCATACAAACTAATTTCCAGTAATTGTGCATCGTCTAAAAAATAAAACATGCTTGCATACGTGTACAAACTATATATCATTAATTCACGAAGAAGCTATATTTATGTAAAACAACCCTGTTCCACGAGCACTTCGAAGGTCTTCAGACCGATGGCCTTTAAGACATCTGCGAACCAGCGCATGCAGAGTGGCACGCGCAGAGTCGGGGTCGAGGGCTAATTTGCTGACCGCCCAAAGGCCTTTGATATAAATGCCATTTGAGATGTCTGCAAAGCGGGATGTAATGTCGGCGGGACGCCGACATTTTGTGATGATCTGTTTGATTGCCTCAATAATGTGGTTATTAGATTCCCTAAGGCCCCCTTATTCCTGCTAGGTGATTTTAATTTTCCTGGCATATCGTGGAAAGACTGCTGCCCTATTCTAACTTCTGGTTCGTCGGAGTGTTCAGCTTTCATTAGCACTTGTTCTATGTTTAACCTCTCCCATAAATGCACCTACTCGCGTTACTAACTCCTCAGCTAATATTCTTGACCTCGTATTGACCTACACCTGAATCTGTCTCATCTCTATCTCTTCTGCCTGGTTTAAGCGACCACTCTGCTATTCACTTCACTTTACAATCCAGTTCCCCCCGCCTTCCTAGGCAGTATAAACTAATTCGGGACTATGGCACAGCGGATTTTCGAGCAATCAACGCCGAGTTGGCAATGTTTGCTGATGCTTTCTTTCCGCAGTTCTGGGAACGATCGATTCATGAAAATTGGGATCTATTTCAAACCAAGGTCACTACTCTCGTTGATAAATATATTCCTCTTCGTCGAATATCCTGTTCCCGAAAATCCCCGTGGTTCAACCTATCGCTAAAACGTCTTCAGAACAAAAAAAACAAAAAAAAGAAGCGTCTTTTTTGTTGCTGTAGGGCATCCAAGATAGGCGAACGTTGGTCAGCTTATCTGTCCGTGGCGTCGGAATATAAACAAGCTATTGTCAACGCCAGGCACGCTTTTTTTAATAACACGCTTCCATCTCTGTTATCCACTAACCCACGCAAGTTCTGGAATGTTGTCAGTATGCGTGAACGTAAAGACATCCGTCTAAAATCCAAAAGTGGCCTGTTGATGCCACGTCATCAGAGCTGTGTTCTTTTGAATATTACCTTCACATTGTTCTTCACGAATTCTTCACCTGCTGCATTACCTGTTATTCGAAATTCAGATTTTACACGCATGGAGCCTATTTTCATCGACTCAGATGGTATCTCTAAGCTGATTTGTAACGCGAACATTTCATCTTCAGTAGGTATTGATGGCATCAGTTACAAGTTTTTGAAGAGTACTGTGACTTATTCATCTGTCATCTTGTCTCAGATTTTTACGCAGTCTTTACAGTGTACCACCCTACCCGGCGACTGGAAGGTTGGCAAGGTGGTTCCGGTGCACAAATCTGGTGATGTTTTTAACCCTAGTAATTACAGACCAATTTCCTTGACATCCATTCCATGCAAGATACTTGAACATGTGATATACTCCAATCTTGTTCTTTTCCTCGAATCAAATTCCTTCTTTACATCCTGCCAGCATGGTTTTCGTAAACATTACTCCTGTGAAACCCAGCTACTCGTTTTCACTAATGACTGGTTTTCTGTGTTAGACCGTTCATCTACCGTTGATTGTGTTTTTCTTAACTTCGCTAAAGCATTTAATACAGTTCCTCATCGTCTACTACTTTACAAACTTAGCAAACTTAACCTCGATAGCAATATTTTAGGATGGATTGAGTGTTTTTTGCATGATCGCACCCAGTATGTATCAACTAACTATCATGATTCTCAACTTTCTTCTGTGTCATCAGGCGTCCCTCAAGGGTCTGTCCTAGCTAGGACCTCTTCTTTTCCTCATCTACATTAATGACCCTCCTGACTCTATTGTCTCATCTATTAAACTTTTTGCTGATGATTGTGTTTTATATAGAGAAATTTCTAACTCCTCTGATGAAGCTATCCTTCAAACCGATCTTAACAGCATTTCCGTGTGGTGCGACACTTGGCTAATGAAACTCAATGTTAACAAATGCAAGGTAATGAGAATCACAAGATCAACTAATCAATCCAACCCGCCTTCCTATTTTCATTGTTCCCCCTTGTCTTCCGTCTCTACCTATAAATATCTGGGTGTTCACATTACCTCTAATCTTTCCTGGCAAGCACATATTGATTACATTGCTAATAATGCTAACCGCATGCTCGGTTTCCTTCGTCGTAATTTCTCTCTCGCTCCGATTTCTTTGTAACTGTTATTATATAATACACTTGTGCGCTCCAAAATTGAGTACGCTTCGTCTGTATGGGATCCACATATTAACTCACTTGTTCTAATCCTTGAATCTATCCAGAATCGTTCTGCCCGTTTTATTTTGTCCTACTATTCCCGTTTAGCTAGCGTCTCTCAAATGAAACAAACATTAAATCTACCCGATCTCTCTGTCCGACGTCGCATCTCCAGACCATGCCTCTTTCATAAAATCTATTTCACCAACGACAGCCTTTGTCAGTCACTTTTCACAGCCCCCTTTTATGTGTCACCCCGTTCCGATCATCGATTTAAAGTTGGCGTACCCAGTTGTAGGACTAACCTGTACTTCGACTCCTTTGTCCCCAAGACCAGCGTGGACTGGAACCACCTTCCTGCCTCCGTCGTCTCCATCAGCGACCACATTACCTTCAAGTCTGCCGTGTCTCATCACTTGACATCATAACTCTTTTTTTGCTCTACATGATTTTTTTTTTTGTTTTTTTTTTCTTCTTTTCCACCACTCCTCTCTGTAACGCCTAACGGCCCTGAGAGCAAATAAATAAATAAATGAATAAATACATAATACTCTCTTAAATCACGAACATGCAAGGAATAGGATTCCAGCGTCTGAAACACTTACGCCGCCGCCTCACCGACCCCTCGCACGATTGCCTTGTGCCCTGTAAACCGACAGGGAGGTTCATCGGCGGAATTGCCTCCGCCGATAGCTTTCGTGATTTGTAATCCAATTATAAAGGTAAAAGTGACAAGCACGCTTATAAAAGATACGGAAACACGTCGGTATCGACCTAACCCAGCGTCTTGTACACCGGATAAACCAGGTCCCGCTCATCGAAGTGCTTGTGGCACACAACGGCCAAACCAGGAAACCGTGGCAGGGAAGCGAGCCGAATGCGAGATCGCGAAGCGGAGTCCTTCCCCTGACGTCACGGTACACCTCACCCAATCAGGGCGAGGCGACCACAGCGACGCCTGTGTTCGCTCTCAGGGCTAATACAGAACGGTTCATTCGGAGCCACAACTTCAGAATATAGACGAAGATTAACCTTAGCACAAAAGGCATTCAATGCGCAGCGCAAGTTCGTCTGCTTCTTGCACAGGGGTTGCGATGACGTCAGAACGCCAAGCTCTTATTGGCTGATTGAAAAAAAAAAAAAAAACATAGTGGGTAGATTTCAAGATATCAAGCATTGAGGTCTTCCCACTATCCTTTCAATCAAACCCAATCAGAGCTCGAAATCAGTCTGACGTCACCACAACTCCTGCGCAAGTAGCAGACGACTTGACCCTCGCATAGATCGACGCGCTGCTCCGACGTCACGCTTCGGCGGTGGCGCTGCTGTCGAGACCGCGCATGCGCAGATGCTTCATCTCACGCGAGTCGGGTTTCTGCACGTGCGGCGCGTCAATCTATCACAGAGACATGTCGTCATGGTTTGTTCCCTCTTGTTTATTGGAACCGAGTAACAATCGTGTTGAAAAAGAAATATCGGCCACAATGTATTTACAAACAGAACAGATGGTGCTGTATGGGCCATTGCGTAGTTCTGGAGTGCTTACAAAACCGTGTGTGCTGTCAGATATTTTCATACTACTTGCTGGCACAACTTGCTGACACGCTGTCTGAAATAAATACTAAAACTAATGCGCTACAAACTGCGAATTTACACATGTATGATTAAGATTTTTTATGTGAAAACAGACCTACTAACTGAAATAAAAAGACAATGGGCAATGAAATACTGGATATTCCTTCGAACATCGGCCAAAATGTTTCTAAGAAAAATATGCGTGGTGCGGAATAACGATATTAGTCACTGCCGAGGGGACACTCTAGAGATGTACAGTGCTCAACGAAACGAAACGGACCAGCGGAGCGTGTGGTCTCGTGTACCTACTGCGACATCTGCCATGACACCACACATTTGTTTAGTACGAACAGTGAGATAACTGCAAGTGGTGGTCACTTTGTTTACAACTTTAACCTTTGGAAACGGATAAATCTGTTTATGCTACTGCAAAGAAGACAAATAAAAACGCTGTCATGCTGCAAGCTCATGGCCATCGTTGATCAGCTATCGGGGGTTGTGCACCGAGCTCGAACAGCCGCCAAGTGCTTGGCTCAGCTGTGCACATGTGCAACTCGCAACACCAGACAAACCGCTTTTCTCGGCAGATGGCGCCACGGACACGCGGGGCCATGCGCTTCGCTGGTCCATTTCGTTTCTAATAATTATGTTCGCATATTTATCTTTTTGATTATTAAAAGTAAACATAAAGTTGCAGATGGAAACTTCCTGAGCGTCATCAAAAACCACTAAAGACTTGCAGTGCATGAGAAACATGGTGCCGATTGTCGCTTATGCAGCAGGCGCAAGGATTGTGGAGCGGAAATGTGGTTTATAAGAAACAACAAAAAAACTGTGCTGGCTAATCCAAGTTATGTGTTTTCGGAATCCAAGAAAAGAAAGCACACGCTCCAAATCTTTCCCAAATTGAATGTATTGGGGGTTTTCCATGATGTCGAGAAAGTTTCTAGTTGAAAGTATATGCTTATTTTTAATAATTAGAAAGTTAATTACACAAAACAAATTAAGAATTTGGTCATCCTAGAGGCTATGTAGCTCAATAAATGGGCTCCTTAAAGGTGACTATTACGGTACCAGTGGGGTGGGGATTGAACCCAGGGATTCTGGGTTCAATTCCCACCCCTAGCTGTTTCGATCTGGATGAGCACCGTAGCGGTGTGCGGTTGCGTATCATTACTGGGTGGTGCACGTTAAAGACCCCAAGCTAGCAGTTGTACTGCACTGGCTAAATTGCTCATCTACAGCTGAGAGACAAGCCGTCCATTGAGACAGACTAAGTTCAGGCTGTATAAACATACCCACACACCGACTTTTTTTTGTGTGTGATGCATGGTTTTTGCTTAAAGCGTTTGGCCGATGTTCGATGAAGCATCCCATTAAACTAAACTATGTTCCTCTGGAATGACAACAAACAAATATGTGGAGAAGGAAAACCAGAATAAAGAACCGGTACACTTTCATCGGAGATCGAAGTCACCATTTTAGATAAGATATGTAGTAGTGCCATAGTTGAAAATCACCACACTCAACATGAAAACTAATAAAACGATGGGAACAATATCCTCAGTGAAGAGCAAAGTTAAGTTTTAGTTAAGTCCTCTTGTCATTTCAGTAAGCCTACAGCAAACAATAATCTGAACCCTGAGACAAGGGAAAACAGACAACAACACTACTCGTCTCAAAGTGTAGATAAAAATCAATGTTTTCTCAACATCTTGCCTGCATGCTTTCTCTTTGATGGTAAACACTTGCAAAACAAATACTAAATTTGTTAAAAAGACTTTGGTATTCTGCATCGTTCTAAACTATAACTGGTCTGCAACAATGGCTTGCTGTCACTTATATAATACACTGCTACAACTCGGTGAGTAAACGTCACTGCACCCAACGAGCAAAAACGCAGTATGATGGTAGGTTGCTAAACATGCAATAAAGGAATGTCCAGGTCAATCACGATACATCAAAGATTGTGGATGAAATTTCAACATTGACCATAATCCCATATCACTGTTGCGTGGCAAAGTCGGAACTGTCTCGATGCCTTGTATTACTATTTTGAATTTCAGTTGCATCAATGGGTGTTCCGCCAGGGTTGTTTGGCATGGTACTTAACCACCCACTTTTGTGACATGAATAGCGAGAGTAATTCTGAACCTGGCTTTTCACGTTCCCGGGATTACGATTGAGTCTGCAGTCTCATCAAGCAAGAGGCAAACCCTCCGGTTCTCAAACTATTTGTGACTACTTGGCAGTGCCTCCACTTTGTAGCCCTATATTTTAACAACCTTTAGTGTACGACCATGGCCCACTCTTCCAACAATGTTGGCAACCTTCTTTCAATGAACCCTCAATCACAACCTTTGACAATCATATCTCTAAAGAAAACGAAAAATGACCCTGAAAAATAAACCTTCCTTTGGAGTTATCAACACAAATAGTACACGACGGGTACAGTCGTAAAGGTGCACTCAACAACCACTGCTAATCGTAAACGCAGTCACAGAACAGACCCAGAAGGCATGGTTGCCTGATGTATGTGGCAACATGACTAGGTAGTAGCAAGAGAACACACCAGTGTTGGTGGCCATGGCACACACAGTGTCGAGAGATTTGGCCGGATGTCGAAAATTTAGGTTCTTGGAATACTTCATACCATAAGGTGAGCACCTTGAGATATTGTAAGTCGTACTGTTGACAATATACCTCAGCCATGACAGAGCCACACTGTCGAGAAATATAAACTCGAACAAGGAAGCCACTCGGGCAAGTGCCGAGATCTCGCATTGGCTGGGTGATAACAAGAACGAATGTTCAAACATACAACGACATAGTACTACTCACAAATAAGACTAAAATATGATACACCTTCATGTTATAATCACCTCAAAAAATCTCATGTACAAGGACGTAAATTACTCCGACCGCGCTTCTTAAGGTGTCACATGAAACGACTGTCACCCCAAAGACTTCATTTCAAACCTTTCAATACGGCCCTTCCAAAATGACTGGAAACGCAATCAACCAGCTAATACCTGCTATCTCACAAAATTCACCGGGAACACTTCGAACAAGCATGGCATCCTACACAAAATGACTTAGATCACATTATGTTTCGTCATCCAAGAAGGCCTGGCATGGTCAATTATGTGAAACATGGAAAGTACTCAAGTGCAGTGGTGTGAGCACTCATGCTTAAATTTATGCACTGTGCAAACAAAGCACGTCCAACTGAGCACTCCCGAAGCACACTTGTTTCACGTAAGCCCATGTGTCTTACCAAGAACGAAAGCATGCTTTCCTGTCCTATCTTCTAGTCTAGTTTTGAGGACTCCTTCTTCGTGCATTGGCACTAATAGTGTGAACCATTTTGAAATTTGTTCGGAGGGTTAGGATTTCGAGAAGTCCTTGGATCACGTGACTAGGGACTCGGAGGGACAGCTGCCACGTACCGACACATACTGCCAGCTCATCTGAAGAGTAAAACGAAAGAAACACAAAAAAGCATGAGCAACTCGAGCAGGGAATATTCGCCATGCTCCTGACAAATTTTAAGGATACTATGTCTATGATCAACTGCACTGTAGGCATATGCAAAGCATCCCAAATAACTTGCACCAAACTTAAAAAAAAAAATGGAGCACTCTTTGGGGAAAGAACCAACAGTATGGTGTTAGCAAGCATCTTATGAAGGTCCACAAATTTCTTTTGAGTATGCCTAGTTATTTAATTATTTCAGACTAATTAGCCAAGATTTTAATTATTTGTTTAAGCACTTAAGAGTGAATTGGAAAGTTCCAGGACACATTGAGAAATACCCAATTAATGTGTTTGCTGCATGATACCATATGCTTGGCATTCTTCTTTTTTTGCCTAAAAAGAGAGCAATTTTTTTCTCTGTGCACTTAAAACCCTAAAAGACATGCACTCTGAAGGATTGAAGTCCACCTTATCACTGGTGCACTGTCCTAGACAGGGCCTTGCAGCAGCAGGTGCTCGGTGTAAAAGATTTTGGTATACACCACAACTTCTTATAAAAGAAGTTTGCCATAACCGGAGTTCAATATAAAAAGCTTGTCACAAATGAAACTGTCAAGAATTGGTTTGACTAACATATCGTACAAAACTTATAAAGCTGTGAAACCTGTTTAGAACGAACCCACGTACAGCGAATTATTGCCGATATTGAACTAACGAAAAATTTCAATAAAAATGTGTGTAAAAACTACTTTTTATAACGAACAACATATTGGCTATATCGAACTATTTCTCCCCGGGAACGCTTCCAGAAACGCGCAAACAATCTTCTTCTAGCCAGTCCCTTCCCTCCAAAAAAAGTAGGAAAGAAAGAAAATTCCAAATGCTCAAGTTGCGAATAAAATTGAGCCGAGAGAAGCGATTCAGAAGGGGAGAGAGCTAAAAACTGAACTCTGCACGCACGCACAGAAAAACAAAATCTTTTCATCCCAAAAACCGTTGCCCACAACAAGAAGCGATTCAGAAGGGGGCATAAGCTAAAAAAAAAAAAAGCTCTGCATGCATGCAAAAAAAATGAAAAATCCCAGCGCGTTGTTACAAGGCAGAAGCAAAGAGATGAGAAAGAAAGGGAAGCTCTCGCCTATCAACGAACGCATCGTGGAAGTTCGTTGTAAATGGTTTTTGCTATATCGAATTACTTGCTATATCGAACTGATCGTAGCGTTTCCTGCTGTTCGTTATAAACGGGTTTGACTGTACTAAGTAGACACCCTTTAAGGCAAACACGAAGGAAGCTTGAAAATGTGTTTGGTTCATGAGAAGTTCAGTTTAACAGAAATGACCAAGATGTCTTACTGGATGTGTCTAAATTAGAGTTACTGTCTAAAAATGGAATTAAACAACCTTGTAATAAAGGCCCAGTTGAAAAGAAATATGTATTTAGCTTCTCACGACAAAAAGAATCATTACTCTGTTGTACACGGCAGTTGTGTGCAGTCGTGCGCATTCCGCTTCGTCTTGGCTTGAGTGCCGGACCAGGAGTTTGTTTTACAATAAATATTCAATCCCTTTCTCTCTTTTTCATCTTGGCACAAAACTGCCACCATTGAACGTGTCCAGGATTTTTTCCCCATCTTTGACGATACCTTATAACATGCTCTTTGGAATGCCCAACTTGCGTACGATTGCGGTCTTTGACGGCTGAACCCCCTTTATCTCTTCTAAAATTTCAGCATTCTTTGCCAGCGGAAGGGACAGACAAGCTCACTTCGACATTGTTTAGCTGGTGGCGTGATCTCGTAATCTCTCCACAAAGAGCCCGCAACCAAAACCTAAAACAGCTCGAGTTTGTAGCCTAAAAAACCTGGTTGAAACCCCCCAAGTGATAACAAATAACAAGCAGTAACCAAAATACGAAACTTCTCAAAACCTCCTGAAAGATTCAGGCGAAGCCACGTAGGGACCTGGAGGGATCGAGCGAGCAGGGAGCTTTTTCATGGTCTCTGCCTGCTCTCTTCAACTTCATGGCCCTCTCCCCATAAACTCCACCCTTGTTTTACGGCATTCTCTTTCTTTCTCTCGCCCTCTCTTTCTTTTTCTCACAACTTCTTATTGCTCCACCACTTCATGCATTTTGTTGGTGTTGACTGCGCCCAAGACCTTCTCGCACCTCCGCTTTGTTTTGCGTGTTTAGTGTTTTGTTCTCTGCGTTTTTTGCTTCTATGTCCATTAGCATGACCGCTGAAGCTCCCGTCGCGCCTTCCCCAGTATTCGCCCGTTCTCCGCGTGGCGGTAGCGGTGGCCCGAAAGTTTGCGTTAACAGAAACGCGCGACCAATGTAGTTTGTGTTAAGCAAATCTTTTTATGCATTGCGTTTATGGGAAACCAACCAGATTTCCACATCCTTCAGCATATCCGAGAATTTGGCTAAAGCGAGTTTGTCTTAACAGGTGTCTACTACTATAGTATCATCCATCATTCACAGAGCAGTGTTCAATATGTCTGATCCTGATTTGCATTAATTCATTCATGAGCTCTCAAACTGTACTCCTAAGCAAAGCGTTTTTCCAGTTTACCTAAGCCCCACTTTAGAAGGCCTGAGCCACCCACTCACGTACAACTATGAACCCAACACTAGGCTTCGGCACTGCTTTATATGATCAATGACGAAACTGGAAAGGGGGGGGGGGAGCTCCTCAGCTGCCACTGCAAGCAATTAACGCTTCCTTGACATTAAAAAGCTTGGAAACCGTCGCATTAACTCAATACTTAACACTAACTAAACAATAAATCACCTTATTCCTGTGTCATTAATAGCAGGTGAATGCTACTCACCCCGAAACCACTTTCCCAGTGAGTTCCAATGGGGTTGTCCATAGTGACTCCCTCCCTCCTAGCAAGGACGCGGTGAAGGATATTCCTCCTGTTGAGCACTATGTCCACAACTGCCCAAATCTGAAATAGACACGTCACAAACATAAGCAGGCAACCCCAGAAGCGATACTTTAAATTCGAACCCAATACCACTTCATGGTCCCTTAGACAGACCTTGATGACCAATCTCATTCGAGACGAGCCAAGAGACATACGGGTCAATTCTTACAAAGCTGATATTAGATTGGAATTCATTACGTCTCCTACTTAAAACTAGATGGTGAATGTCACAAAAGAAAAAAATCCTACTTAGCCCACTATTATGATGTTCTTATCATAGCCACTAGGCTGGATGACATACACTTCCCATTCACATTCTTAGCAAGGAAATGACCTCATTACATATAGCTAGGGTTCGGAGTTTTCGGTTTAAACCGATAAAAACCGATAAAAGTACGCCGAATTCAATTTCGGAAATTCGGTTTTAACCGAAAAAGGTCAGTTTTTAGGTTCGGCATTTTCGATTTAAATCGATAAAAACCGATAAAAGTACGTCGAATCCATTTTCTGAAAATCAGTTTTAACCGGAGACTGTCACTTTGACCTTCCAGTCGTACCGCAGAGCCGTGGCGAAAAAGTGGAACGACAGTGTCTATCGAAACGTGTCCGAATGTATGGGATACACGGATGCCATCACGACGTTTTGGTTTATTGTGCGCATCATCGATCGGAACGTAAAGTCCGAAATGCCCCATGACTTCGCCATGTACGGGCGTGTTTTCAAACTCGTTGTAAGGAACACTGACTTGATGCAAGCTCTGCATGTTGTGTTGTGCTTCAAAACGCCGCACCGTGTCTCTTTTGGTGCTCACAATTGGTTGATTGGCCGATTTTGACTCAGGCAGCGCTTCATCTCCTCAGCCTGCCAGTGTCCAGTGTTAGCGTTGAGAGGGCATTCTCGAAGCTCGGTGTCATATTAACAGGAAAGAAAGAGTGCGGATCAACGAGGAGAACCTGGGAAAGTATGTGCGTGTGTACTGTAATAAGATCACGTAATCCTGATATACAGAAGGTGAAGTTCCATGTTTTTTGGGCACAGGCTTCATATCTGACTTGTTTTTACTTCTGTTTTTTTTTTATTGATTCTTTACAGTTGCACACATTTGCCAAATAAAGTGTCCATTTCTTTTTCAATATATCTGTGCCGTTATTATTTGAGTGATCAAAGATATCAGAGCTACAAGGATCATCTGATCCGGTGTCCGTTGGTGTTTATTTTATATACACCGAAAAAAGACGATAAATTTTGGTGGGCATAAATATACGCCGAAAAAAACCGAAAATTGAATTTTAAAATAAACACCGAAAAAAGTACGCCGAATTTTGAAAAAATAGAAACCGAAAACGCAGAACCCTACATATAGCATTTTCATTCAAACATTTTGAGTTGTGTTCTTAGCTTAGTATTAGAGATTGTTATTCCTTGATGGGTTTCCAAAACTATCTTTCTCTGCCAGTCTGCTGTTAAAAAAAATGGTATCTCATGAAATCAATTTGTCTGGTGTCATTTACATACAATATCATAAGTTCCGAAAGAGCGCCCACCCAAAATAAAGAGATAAATGGTGAAAACATAGGTTGGGCTATCCTTGGGGATGCCACAGCAAAACTTTATCAAAAATTAATGATAAACAACCTGCCACCCGCTACGAACCACGTGACGCGGAAACTGATACCGCAGATCGCGGACACCGCAAATTCGCGTTTCACTACTCGAAAAACACGCGGGAATTTGCTACAAACTCCTGTGTCACGAAAAAGAACACCGCAAGTTGCAGACGCTGTAGATTTGCGTTTCACTGTGCGTAGGACCCGCGGAGACCCGCCGAGAACTCGCATCACGCGGGAACGAATACCGAAAATCACGGACGCAGAAGATTCCAGTTTTATGGTGCAATAAACACGCGGGAACCCGCTAAAAAACTTGCCTGTCACGGGAACCGATATCGCGCGCGCAGATCGCGGACAAAGATGCGGGAATCCGCAACAATCTCGTATGTTACGGGAACAAATACCGCAGATCGCGAACGTAGCAGAATCGTATTTCACGATGCAATATACATGCGGGCCAAACTCGAGTGGAATCACGACCGCGCGCGCAGATCGCGGACAAAAACGCGGGAATCTGCTCAAAACTTTGCCACGGAAACGGATACCGCAGATTGCGGACGCAACATGCACGCGGGAGCAACTCGCGTGTTACGGAAGCCCATATCGAGCGCGCGCAGATGGCGGACAAAAATGCGGGAACCCGCTATGAACTCGCTTGTCAGACGTGCTGGTACAGCAAATTGCGCCACTGATACGATTCCCGTCGTACATTGCGTAACGTCCGATGGGAATCGCGGGTGGGTGATGTTGCGGAATTTTTATGTTACAGCTATATAGCCACAAAACCGAGATGGGCGATCTTTCGGGGGTGGGCGTTCTCTCAGAGCTTTACGATATTCTTTTTTTTTAGGCTTTACAGATTCGTATGTAAAATGCCTTGAGAACCATGCAGTATGTGCAGATGAGTTATACGGCCCGGGGGCCATAACATAGGAGAATACTCGTCACGATAAATCAATTATTTAACTGAAATTAGTTCATTAACTTTTCTAATTATAAAAAATAAGATTTGGTTCCAATCAGAAACTTATTGAGCATTATCGAAAACTACCAAACAAAAAGTCTGTAAAGACTTGAAGCGTGCAGAATGCACAGTGGTGCGTTAAAGTTGCTACTCGTGCAATAGGCGCAAAAGGTAGGAAAATGCGCCGGTGCGGTTCTTTTAGTTCCTTATCATTCGCATTTTTGCACCACCAGCATTGCACTCATTGCACGAGTGGTCATTTTAGCGCACCACCGTGCAGCTTATGAATGGGCCCCCACAATCTTCCTTATTATTTACTGATTTTCGATGAAGCTCAGCAAGTTTGTAATGGGAACAATATGTTTTGTTTCCCAAATTAAAAAGTGAATGAAAAAAGTTTCATTATTTATCCGACTCATCGTGACGAACAGACCCTATATCACGACCACCTGGCCGTATAACTCACCAGCACAAACTGTATTAGTGTAGCTTTCACCGCATTTTTAAAACAAACATGTAAAGCCCTTCTTTCCCCCTCCGCCCCCCCAAAAAAACAAGGAAAGAAAGCACCTTGTATAGATCATTCTACTAGGAAGAGAGGAGAGAGGAAAATTAACCTCCATGTTTGGGCGGTTCCGGCGGTTTACAGTGAAACCCGTTTAGAACGAACCCGCGTACAGTGAATTATTGTCGATATCGAACTCACGGAAAATTTAAATAAAACTGCATGTAAAAAAGTACTTTTATAACAAACGACATATTGGCTATATCAAACTTTTCCCCCCCTGGAAGGCTTTTAAATGCGCGCAAACAATGGTTTTCTAGCCTGCCCCCCCCCTATAGAAAAAAAGGTAAGAAAGAAAGAAAATTTCAAAAGCTGAAGCCGGGAACAAAATTGAGCGAAGAGAAGCGATTGAGAAGACAAAGAAACCTAAACAAAAAAACAATGTGCACGCACGCACAGAAAAAAAAGAAAACTATTCAACCCAAAGCGGTTGCCCACGAAAAGAAGCGATTCAGAAAGGGGGATAAGCTAAAAAAAACAACTCTAAACGAACGCAAAAAAAAATAGCGTTTTGTTACAAGGTGGAAGCGAAGAGATGAGAAAGAAAGAGGAGCTCTCGCCTTACAACAAACGCATCGGGGAAGTTCGTTGTAAATGACTTTCGCTATATCGAACTGATTGTAGCGTTTTCTGTTGTTCGTTATAAACGGGCACCACCAGAATCGCCTAAGCAATGGGAATGGCGTGTACCCTTTCCCTCTTCTACTGCGACGATTTCATTGACAGGTATGGACGTATATATAGGGTGTCCCAAAAGGACCTTCTGCTGTAAAACAAGCTGGAAAAATTGCCACCTGCACACAGAAAGTTCAAACTTTCCATGATTGTGCACTGAGCAGGTAAGTTTCACTGTGGGAAATTTCAAACAGCAGTTCTCTTCTGGTAAAAAATGACAGCAAAAAGCTTGCCAAAGTCAAGTTTGGGTGCGTCCGCAGACGACAGAGTTAGTGACGCTATTCACTTGCGGCGCCATCTCCCAACGGGCGCAGCGAGCAGACGACATAACAGCGTACGGTTCGCTCGGCACACCCTACAGATGGCACTGCAGTCAAACAAAATGGCGCTGCCCAGGGAGAGCCCTCTGTGGAACGGTCTATAGTCTGCGGGGAATACCATGCATTGTGTCAAACAGAATGTATGTTGCCATGTTACCTGATCGGACGGCCCAACGGAGACAGACCGCACGTTTGCAGACACCAGGGCCCACTCCGTTCCTTCGGGAAAAAACTCCATCACCTCCAGGCGGCGCCAAAGCTTTCCCGACGCGTCGACGGCGCACACCGCCGTTTGGCCCACCGAGACTTGAACCAAAGGCGATCCCCCTGGTGGTGGCTCCACGTGGAACCAAGCCGAACCTGAACGGACAGATGCATCAAATAGTCGAGCAAATTAGTTATCAATTGGAGTGGCCACTGAGCCTCCAATCACGCTGCTCCTGCGTCATACAAAAGACACCGTGTTCGCTGAAGACATAACCACAGAATTACTCGCGGACAAGCGTCAAGCATGTCCAAACACACCTCAGACAGCGTCTGCACACCGTCTTTTGTATGATGTGTTAGCATTCAGACTGTGACTCTAGGCCAACAAAAATATTCTGATGGGCAGGTCAAGAAAGGCGGGACAAACTCTCTTCCACTTCAGCAAAGGAAACGAAAGAAAGGAGGTGAGTGGAAAGGAAGAAATCACCAATCGTGGCAAGCAGAGTGCTTTGCAGGTGGGGCATGCCCTTCAAGTTCAAGCTTAATGCTCCCCAAGGACATTCCCTCTACCTACTCTAAACCTGCAGAAGACCATAGTTTGTTGAATGTGTTAAATACAAAGAGCACGAAGAATAACGACAGGTACAAGGAGAGGGCCAGCAGCTGCACAGGCATCACAACTCCAGTCCAACTTATAGTGGCTTATGGAACCTGCAGACTGAGACTGAATGTTCCAGTAAATAACTGAAACCTTCAATTTTCAATTCGGTCTGTGTTCTGTATTTGATTTGAACAGCATTATATTTGGATTGTATTCTGTTAAACTGTATTCAATTTACCATATTGAATTTGAATTAAAAATAAAACTGTATTCAAATAGAATTTAGGCATCCCTTCGACTTGGTGATGTTGCATGGAAGGAGCCGCCAACAATAAATACCCTTGGCAAGAAAGCAACCACTAAGAGCATGCAAATTCTTAACTTTAATAATACTTCAAAAGTTGAAGTATATATATTTCGAGTTTACCTGAAGTGTACGAAAAATATGCGTTGCTAGAAGCATGGTGAGTACCGCTAAAATGAAGTCTAGAAGTTGTGGGGGCACACGGTTGCCCGGTACCCCAAATACCGCGGCCATCATTCGGCCGCAAGGTGGCGGCAAGCAGCCGGCCACGCGCGCGTCGTGCCGCTCGCCTATATTAGGCGAGACAGGAGCGGCGCGAGGGCAGTCGGCCGATTTCCGCCGAGCTGAAGTAATCATGTTAGTATTGTGATTGTCTTTGTCTGATTAAATGTAGTTTCTTGTTGTTGAAACCGACGGCTCCGTGTTATTCCTCCGGGTCGGGTATGCAGCAAGGCAAACCGACCACAATGGCGCCCAACCGTGGTATGCTACCCACTCGCAGGAATTTCACGGGGCTTGGTTTCTTCTTTCGGTAAGCCTTTTTCATATTCCCCGTGTTTCCTATCGTTGTTTCGTGCTTCCGTCACGTCCACGTTTGTTGTATTGGCGTGTTTGTGACCGTGTCTTTGTGAACGCGGCAATCGTTTTGCGCGCTTGTGTTGGGTTTTTGGGGGCGTTTCTTTTTTTTGTGCTCGCAGGCATGCTCAAACTGGAGCAGGAAGCCGCGATGGCCGCAGCGGCACAAATGAACCTGCTCACGAAGGTCACGGAGATGTGCGACTCCGTGATGCAGCGCCTGGCCCACACGCCTGGCCAGCAGGAGACCCCACCGCGAGAGCCCCGACCACACTTGACTGTTCCGGTCTACATGGGGTACGACGACGTCAAGTCCGTGGCAGACTTCCTGGGCGAGCTGCAGACGTACCACCTTGCCTCCGGTGCCTCTGAAGCCTTCATCGTGGACCGGATTGTCCCGCTGGCGTTACAAGCCAGCGCCAGGTGCTGGTTGGGGTCACAGACCCCCTTCACCAGCCTGGCGGACTTCCAGACAAGGCTTCGAGAAGAGTTCCTGCCTGCAGGCTACGCGACGCAGATTCTCCGAGAGCTCGAGGCAAGGACGCAGCACCCGGATGAAAGTCTGGTCCGGTACGTTCGGGTCATGCAAGAGCTCTTCAAGAGGGCGGACCCGAAGTCACCGGAGTCGGACAGAGTAGCTCGGGTCAGACGACAGTGTCACCCCAGGTACCACGTCTACCTGATCAACCGCACCTTTGAGACCCTTGAAGAGCTAGCCCGGGGCGCCCGCCTCATCGAGGAAGCTCTTCATGCCGAGCGGAACTACGTGCCGCCGCCACCAGCCAAGTACGCGCTCGAGCCGGCATGCGCATGGCGGGGCCCCGAGGCCTCCACGCAAGTGGACTGTCCGAACGAGACCTCCCTTCCCCACCACGTCAACCAGGAGAGTTGGCGTGGCATGCATGGTGAACTCCCGTGCGGGATAAGCGTGTGTTCGCCTAACTCTCCCCGAGAGGTCCCCGGAGGTCACAGCGAGGCCCGTGAGGGTTTCGGGCGGGGGTCGCCACGACAGGTGGGAGGTCGTTGGCCGTGCCCTATCGCAAGCTGGGGCCCAACGGAGATCACCACCCAAGCGAACCATCTTCATCAGTCTGCTCCTGCAAGTGCTGGCGAAAACTGGCACGGTGCGGTCGCAAACCCGCAGCCCAGCAGCATTGACCCCCGCCGCAACGGAACAAGCCCTCCCCACAACAGCCAGTCGCAAGCCTGGCGGAGGCCCTCCCATAGTGGTTCCTTATCCGATCACTGGAGGCGGTCCGACGGGCACCTCGGTGCCGGTGGCCTAAGCAGGCAACTGTCGTCGGACTGCTGCTACGAGTGCGAGCAGCCCGGCCATCACCGAAAGCAGTGTCCAAGACTTCTGGACACTACAAACAAGAGGTGGCACGAGACGGCGGCAAAGGGCCGGAACCAAAACAACCAGGGAAACTACTACGGCCGGCGACGCTGAAACCAGACAGCCACTCGCCGACGGCCGGTGCAGTCCCTGGGAGCGGTCAGGCCGCGGCACAGATTCCATCGGTATGTCGAATCCAGCCCGAGCCTAACATCATTGAACCGCGCATGACAATATCTCTGCTCGATTTTCCCATTGCCGCACTTTTGGATTCTGGGGCCGCTATCTCGCTCATAGGGGATTTCGTTTTCGAACTCTGCAAAGCAAAAAAGATAAGCCTCCGGGAGTGCGAAACCCGTTTGCAGCTAGCTTCTGGTACAGCGATAACAGCTGGAGGAGCCGTGAGGCTGCAGATTCGGTTTAATGGAAAGAAGCGACGTCAGCGATTTCTTTATATGCCAGGACTTGTGGTACCTGTGATCTTGGGCCGAGATTTCATTACAGGCGAAAGCATGACACTCGACTTTTCTGGTGGTGGATACCGGCTGGGACAACAACCGGAGCTGACTCCGTTTACCAAAAGGGAGGACTGCATCCCTAACTCGACCACTGCAGCCCACTTCACCACGGTGCCAGACGTCTTGCCTGCCGGCGTTCGAGAATCGTTGCGAAAGTGCCCCGCAAGCAGCCAGCAGAAGCAGGAGCTGCAAGCCGTCCTGGAGTCTTTCTCACCGATGTTCACGGAAACACCTGGAAAGACTGACATTCTGCTGCACCGTATTGAAACCGGTGACGCGCCGCCTCGGAGGTGCAACCCTCGACCGATCAGCGTCCACAAAAGGGCACTCCTTGATGCGGCGCTCGAGGAAATGATCGACACCGGTTCAGTACGTGAGTCGAAGAGCCCCTGGGCATTCCCCGTTGTTCTCGCCCCGAAAAAAGACGGAACAGCCAGACTCTGTGTGGATTACAGGCGGCTTAACGATGTGTGCGTACGAGACAGCTACCCTTTCCCCAGCATTTCCTCTGTGATGTACGCGCTCGGTAACGCGACCGTGTTTACAACGCTGGATTGCAGTCGCGGGTTCCTTCAGATCGAGATTCACCCATCAGACGTTCCAAAAACGGCTTTCATCTGCCACAGAGGGTTGTTCGAGTTCACCCGACTGCCGTTTGGCTTGTCTAACTCTCCAGCCAGTTTTCAACGCCTGATGGATGTTGTACTTGGGAACTCGAAGTACGAATTTGCCATGGCATACATGGATGACGTGGTTGTTTTCTCGAGAACTATCGAAGAGCATGTCGAGCACCTTCGCATTGTACTTGAGCGAATGCGTAATGCTGGGCTCACGATTCATCCCGGAAAGGTTCAGTTAGCCGCGCCCAAGATTAACCTCCTTGGATTCGTTGTGGATAACGGCACGCTCCGCCCCAACGAAGATAAGTTGCGCGCGCTAACGGAATACCCAAGCCCACATGACGTAAAGAGCCTACAAAGATACCTCGGAATGATTGCGTTCTACCGGGATTTCATTCCACACTGTTCCGAGATATCGCAACCGCTCAATCACCTTCTAAAAAAAGGCGTCAAGTGGTGTTGGTCCGAACAACAACAATGCGCATTCGCAGCCCTTTCAAAAGCCGTGACTGACAACGCTTGTTTACAGCTCCCAGACTTGAACAAGCCGTTCGTTCTGCAGACAGATGCAAGCGACTGTGGCCTGGGTGCTGTCTTGCTGCAGGAGTATGGCGGTGTGCTTCGGCCAGTTGCTTTCACGAGCCACACGCTAACTCCAGCCGAGCGCAACTACAGTGTCGCAGAACGTGAATGTCTCGCCATTATTCATGCTTTGAAGCGATTTGATATGTACCTAGATGGCGCAACGTTCCAGATTCAATCTGATCACTTAGCGCTATCATGGCTAAGGGGACTTAAGAATCCAGCTGGGCGTCTTGCTCGTTGGGCGCTTACGCTACAACAGTACGACTACTCCATTGTGTACCGCCCGGGGTCAACTAACAAAGTTGCTGATGCGCTCTCTCGTGCTCCACTTCCCGAGGAACACTCGCAGGATACCCATGGCTTGGTGACCGTCGCGGCCACTACACGAGGATCCCCAGATTCACGGTGGGGTACATTGGTGAGCCGCGGGGAGCTTCGCAAGGCGCAGCTGGATGACGGGCTCTGTCAACGCGTGTCCGCTTGGCTGGCAGCAAGAGGTCCAGTCGACCGCCCAAGTGACGAGGAGTTCGACTCCTACTTGATGAGCGACGACGGCCTCCTGCTACGCTACATCCCCCAGGCAGACGACGATCCGGGTGGCTCGGCGTTCCGGACCGTGATACCCCGCAAGCTACGTAAGCTTTTCATCCGATACATGCATGACTCTGCCTTGGCAGGACACAGCAGTGGGAGCAAGACTTACGAAAAGTTATCCCAAATTGCTACCTGGCCAGGCATGAGGCAAGATGTGCTCCGATATGCTCGTAGCTGCTCAGTGTGCCAGAAGGCAAAACCACGTGGTGGCCAGCCCCCTGGTCTCATGCAACCAATCGCGAGTCAGAGCCCTTGGCAGATTTGTTGCTGTGACGTCATGGGCCCCTTCCCACGCAGTACCCGCGGCAATCAGTACTTGTTCGTGGTAACCGACCACTTCACGAAGTGGGTCGAGTTATTCCCTTTGCGGAAGCTAGATTCGCAAAAAATCTGGGAGTGTCTACTCGAAACATTCGCTAGGTTTGGGTTTCCTGCACAGCTTGTAAGCGATAATGCCTCCTATCTCACGAGTAAGGTGTTTGTGGATGCATGCGCGGTGCTGGGAATTAAGCACAAGAGAACTTCCCCATACCACCCGCAAGCAAACATCACAGAAAGGGTAAATCGGAACCTTAAGATGATGTTAGTGGCCTACACAGAGCGCCACAAGGACTGGGACGCGAAACTGCCCGAGCTGGCATTCGCAACCCGTACGACCACTAATCGGTCAACGGGTCTCACTCCTGCCCAATTAAATTTTGGCAAGGAGCTCGCATTCCCGCTTTCTAACAGCCTCCTTTCTACAGAGTCTGGAGGAAGGCCTCGCCCCTACGTGAAGTTCGCAGAGGACCTGCGAAAGCGCTTCTCCGATAACCTTCGAGAGGCCAGAGAAAATCTCGACGTCGCCCGGGTACAGCAGGCTGAACAGTACAACCGGGGGCGACGTGACTTGCAGTTCGAGGTGGGAGATATTGTGCTCCGGCGTACTCACCCACTGAGTGACGCCGCTCGAGGCTTCGCAGCCTCCCTCGCCAACAGGTGGGAAGGTCCGTTTCACGTGCGTGAAAAGTGCTCACCACTCACTTACAAACTAGTTAACTGTGAGTCCAGTGAGGAAACCGGACCTGTTCATGTCACCGACCTTAAACAATTTTTCCAAGCAGAAGACGAAGATTCCTCGCAGGACCGGAACGACAATGACGGCAGTCCCGTTCCGGAAACCCCCTTGTCTCCACCAAGGCGGCGGTATAACCTGCGACGTCGGTGACGCGAAAGAGAGAGGAACCTTTTTTTTTTTTGTGTGTCTCCTGTCTTCGCCTCTCTCGCATTTTGGGGGTAGTTTTCTGCTTCCACGGATCTGCTCCCCTTTCAAGAGAGGGGGGGACGATCGTGTGCCCACCTCAGATCCGTCATTTGGAACTTTTTGGCAGGGGGGGTAGCAGCAAAACTTTGCTCGCAACTAAACGCCTGCCCTGCCCTCTCTTGTTTCACGAAGATGGCACGTGACAACAACCGTCACCACACCCCGCCATCAGAACGACATGGCGGCCGGGCACATGGTATGCCGGGCCACCAAGGACGTCGGCGCGGCAGGGGCGGCCCAGGGCACCGTGGACCGCGGCCACCCCCTACAGGACGGCCCAACGGACCCGGCCTGTGCAGACGGTGCGGCAGCCGGCCACAACGATCCGTCGCCACCTGGACTATACTGGAGGGGGCCACCTCTGTCGGCTGGGCATCAGACCTACGTTGGAGACAGCAGCCCCGCCCCGAGAACGGCTGCCCTCCAGCCAATATTCCGGAGCCATTCCGCGGGCGGACCCTCGAAGACCGCCACCCCACAGAGCCGGCTGCGCAATATACAGCCGAGGAGTTGCGCCTCCACTGCCCACTCTGTGGGGTGCCAGAAATATCTAGAGCGGCCCACATCCGTGGCCAGCTGCACGGGGAAAGGGCAGACGCGGACAGGATCGCCCGCATCAATAGGCTGAACGAGCGCGACCTAGAGCGAGCCATCGCGCTGATCCAGTGCCGCCGGCCGGACCTCCTGCGCCAGCGCACCCCACCCCTCGACGCCGACGACATCGTGATAGACATGCCCGATTGTTAAGGGGGGGAGAGTGTGGGGGCACACGGTTGCCCGGTACCCCAAATACCGCGGCCATCATTCGGCCGCAAGGTGGCGGCAAGCAGCCGGCCACGCGCGCGTCGTGCCGCTCGCCTATATTAGGCGAGACAGGAGCGGCGCGAGGGCAGTCGGCCGATTTCCGCCGAGCTGAAGTAATCATGTTAGTATTGTGATTGTCTTTGTCTGATTAAATGTAGTTTCTTGTTGTTGAAACCGACGGCTCCGTGTTATTCCTCCGGGTCGGGTATGCAGCAAGGCAAACCGACCACAAAGTCCACATTAGAAGTAAAATTCACATACCATTCAGTATGCTCAAAACATAATTGAAGCATGCTATCTTGTATGATAAAGTATGCTGTTAGTATACTTTTAGTCTACAGCTGTTTGACAAGGGTGGTGCCCCTCCGGCTTTTACATTCAAACGCCGATTCAAATGCCCGAACCACTTCAGCGACATTGACATTCGACAGCCGAGTTGGACGTCCATGCCCACTTCAGCGACGACACGTCAAGCACGCACCTGTTGGATTGTTGAGCGTGATTCCGTTGCGAAAGTAGGCGGAGCCATCCCTGCCCACTGCCCAGAGACGAAGTCCAGCACCCAGGCTGATGGACTCAAACTGCTGCTCGGCTGCCACGTGCACCCACGACGTTCCCTGGATGTGGGAGACGCCCATCCACCAAGCTATAGAATCCGTAAAATTCAAAAAGGCAAGATGGCAAGAAAACTCGTGGCCATGGTCTGTTGCAGGTTAAGAAAAGTGGGACAAGCTCCACCCACAAAGCCCTCCATTCTTTCCACTTTAGCAGAGCAAATGCTGGAAAGGAGGCGAGTGGAGAGGAGGAAACCACTAATTATGGCGAGCCGAGAACATTGTCAGAGGGGCTCTTACCGTTGCTCTAAACCTAGAACAGACTGTAGGCTCATATCCAGCTTCAAACTGCTTATTTGTTAGAAAAAGCACTACCGTAAAATAGAGGTTGGCATTTTAGGTCACCTCACTCTCACTCACCCTCACCCTCAACCACACTCACCTAAGCCTCTCACTCACCCTCACAGCTACACTCACCTTCAGCCCCTCACTCACCTTCATCTTCACAGTCACACTTACCTTCAGCCCTTCACTCACCCTCACTGCACCACACGGCCCTCACGCACTCATACCCCTCATGCACTCGCTTTCCTCCCACCCTCCCACCCCTCGTGATCCTCACTCACCTTCACACTCATGAATTTTCGTGGTTCAGAAACTCACTCACCCTCACCTCACCTGTGAAGGCGACGGTGAGTGAGGGCCCTCATGAGTGAGGTTTGCCGAGGTATGCCATAAAATCCCGTAAAAACCCCCACCCAAAATGAACATTAAAGGTTGAAAAACATGGGGTTGACTATTTTTGGGGATGCTACAGCAAAACTTTATCAAAAATTAGTGAAAAAAACCTAGGCACCGGCGAATTCGCGCTTCACGATGCGATAAACAAGCAGAAATTCGCTACCAACTCCTGTGTCTTGAGAAAGGATACTGCAGAATGCAGATGCAGCAGATTCGAGTTTCATGGTGCAATAAGCACACGGGAACCCACTACAAACTTGCCTGTCACGAGAACTGATATCGCGCGCGCAGATCGCGGACGAAAACGCGGGAACCCGCTATACGAACTCGCATGTCACAAGAACGGATACCGCAGCTCGCGGATGCAACAGATTCGCATTTCACGATGCAATATACACGCGGGAACAACTCGCGTGTCACGGGAACCGATATCGCGCACGCAGATCGCGGACAAAAACACGGGAACTTGCTACAAACTGGCTCTCACACGTACCGGTAACGCAGATCGCGCGGTGGATCTGATTCCCATCAGACATCGCAGGATGTCCGACGGGGATCGGGGGGATGTTATGGATGTCTAGCCAGAAAAACGGGATGGGCGATCTCTCGGGGGAGGGCGTCCTTGCGGGATTTGAGTGCACTAGACTGAAAACTGGCTAGCAATCCCAGCAGCGGAAAACGGACATCCCACCGGGGATCTGCCTGAAACTCGTTTAGTGCGCCAAATAGTCGAGGAAACACCGAAGCAAAACCTGTGGCTAGGTAGCGCAAGCCAGCACCCGAATCAAAGTGTTTAGCCATTTACTAGCCATCTACTAAAGCGTGCCCCTTGGTAAATGTGCTCTATACATAGCGGCCAACCTTTATACCAGCCTATGATAGATTAAGAAATTTGTAAAGCAAAAAGTAAACTTCCAGGTAACTCCATTGCAGCATCAGCATTTCAATCGGTGAACGTGCCAATCCACTTTCATCAATTCATTCACTTCGATTTTGTGTTCCCGACGTCCCGAAGGGTCCTGCTCGTTTCGGCGATAGTTTTTGGCAAGTTCGACAGCATCCTTTGAAGGTTCCTACCTTGGGGCAATCCTGAGAGACCCCCTTCCTGTAGACAGCCTCTCCATTGTAGGACACCGCCCAGAGTGCTATTGGTCCGCTGCGGCAGTCTGTCTGGAGTGATACGTCTCGCAGGGCCATCGGCTCCACTTCCACCCAGGGACCGGTGGTGTGAAGCTTGCACAACCTTCACCGACAAACAAAATGACGAGTCCTTGGAGCCAGATCGGCAAATGAACAAATTAATGCATAATTAATGCCTACCAAAGTATGCAGACATCCCACGCCTTGCAGTATGAAAATATGCAGATTTGCTTTTCTGGAGTTTAACAAACACTTTTTCTCTTCACCCAAGCTCTTTTTAATAGAGGTTGTTAAAAAGCCCCCCCCCCCAAAAAAAGAAATGTAGTCCAAGAAGTTGGTATTCTCATACAGCAAGAAATGTGTGTGGGACGTTTGCTTCTCCTAAATTCTCCAGGTACATATGCGAAACATCAGTTAAGTAGACAGCATTACAAACCCAAACATAAAGTAAACATGATTTATACTTTCTCTTTTTCTTTTCTTCTGGTGAAATAACATTTCGTATTCAAAGGGCAAGTCCAAAGAATCATTCGGTTCTGACTTCTGATACTGATGTCATTTCTATTTGACCTTTCAAGATCCTAACAAAAACAAATTAAAAACTAGAGCAGACATTCTCAAACTCATTTATATCAAACAATGTTAACCTTACTTGAATGACACCCGAAGAAACCTCACTGGTATCGATGCTGATGTAATATGGCAGTGAAGAAGCTTACAGACATTGTAAATCAATGCATACACAAGGAAACTTCTGGCACACAGTCAAGCATCAATAGAGGGTTCTGAAATATTTTGGTGGGCAGGTTGGATAAGCATAATGAAGAATAAATGGCACTAGAACAGCAAAATGAAGACAAGATTAGCATCAGGTAGTCCCGTCTTTGTGTTCTTGTTTGCACTTTGCACTATTTATCCTTCATAATCAATGGGCAGCTCAGATCTTTTAAAACAGCGCTTAAACTGGAGGAAATAACACTTTACTTGGAGGAGGAGATGGCCGAAAAAACTTTGGAAGCTCAGGAATCCCTTTGGACACTCAAAGGAACCTCTGAGTTCCTATAGTCGAAGAGTTCCTCCCACTCTTTCCACCCTAGCAGAGTCAACACTGGAGAGGAAGAACTCTCCCGAGTTCACTCTGCTAACGAGGACAGATGGGAGGAGCATCCCCTGAACTCTCTAACATGTCACCAACTACAGTCAAATCTCATTAATTCAAACTTCTGGATAATTCAAACTAACATGCAGGTTCCATCCTATGCGTCTCTGTGGGAGGAAACTCCCGGTAATTCAAACTTTGATTTATTCAAAGAAATTTTCGGTCCCGCTCGAGTACGAATTAATGAGATTCAATGGTACAACTACCCACGTCACCAACTCTAACCAGTCACCAAATATAAGGACCTATGTCCCCAACTCCTTAACCTGTCACCAACTATGAGGACCTATGGACCAGAGGAGAAACAGACCTGAACCAGCGCCTCCGGCGTACATAGTCCGTCATCCCCTTGTGGGCGTGGTAGGTGAACGGGAAGTCTCGCGCATACTGCCAGCCATCCCCGTCCACCCCGCCCGGGGCGCGGTAGTCCACGGCCCAATCAGACACCTGCAAGGCGGCGGCCATCTTTGCTCAGACCAAACAAGCCAAATGCTACGAGCTAACTTCGATTAATGCATTCATAACGTGCAAATTGCTCAGGCTGACATGACAAAATGAAAAGCTTAAAGGAGGACCAGGGGGGTTTTCTTTTCTGGCATTAACCCACTCTGCGTGCTCCAAGTGTCCAAAAATTCTGAAATTACAAGCATGTGTGCGGCCTGTTTTTTTTATGAAGAATGAGCTGAAGGATCGCAACATGTCCCTTCCTTTTGTGGGAGAGGGATGTTTTTTTGCTGGAAAAAGGGTCACGTCGCGATTATTGATGACAATTTTAACAGGCAAATAGGCAACACACGATTGTAATATGAGGAGTTTCAGGACATTCAAAACATGTAGATGGAGCTATCGCCATAAAAGGATGAACTCAAAACCCTCATTAGTCATTTTTAAAATAACGAGACCTTTATGCATGCTTAGATTTTTACAAAAACACAAACCTACAATGATCCAGCAATTAAAAGAAAAAATTAATAACTCAAAATTACTTTTATAAAAAAAAAAAGACGGACGTAAAACAGAAGCCCCCTCTTTCCCCCAAAACAAAGAATACAAATTCCGCTGTCATGCGCTCTGAAGACACCAAACTTGAAATATCTAAAAGTAATAAGTCGTCCGGGAAATAATAGAATCCCCCAATCGTGCCTTTTATGGCCATCCAAAATGAGATGTTTTCAAAGTAGTCAGTAGAAGACTTAGTTGTCAGTAAAACACGATTCTTTCTGCGTTTTAAACGTGCACGTTTAGATAAAAAAGCCTACTTATTTGAAATGCACATGCACATAATGCACCCCATGAAGGGAAAAATCAGTAACGCCCCACAAAAAGCCAATCTCTTTTTTTTTTTTTTTACTGGAGTTTTTGAGGTTTTTACTATGAATTGATCTGATCCCCACAAAAGAGATTTGTGCCCCCCTCACCTCTCGCCCCGCCCCGCCCCGCCCCCCCCCCCCCCTCCCCCTAAGACCACTGAAATGTGCCCGAATACATCCTGCTTCAAGGTTCCTTTAAAATTGATATAACCCAAACACACGTACATAGTTATAACAGATGCACACAATTAAAAAAAAGGGGGGGGGGGGAGGAAACGGGAAAACACTTGGTATTAAAAAACAACTTTCGATAGGGAAAACCAAACATCTAAGCGACCTCGCATACGCTACATACACGTCCAAATTCAAAATGGCGGCCGCGATACAAAGGCGATCGTGTGCGGGCACGCGCGATGAAACTTTTTATGGCGATCAAGGCCACGCCGCCGATCAAGGCCACGCACGCGCACTCGTCACGTCCGATATGTTACAGAGTGTTCTCCAACTTAATCTCGAACCATCGTGTTTAAAATCCAACCATCGTCGCTGAGTTGACTCCTCAACAAACGCCGAATACGATGTACCGCGTCGTGACTTGACGCTCGGTGCGTAGTTCTGCCCCATGAAAAGGTCACGTGATTCCGATGCGCCCGCCGCGGCACATCGCAAGGAGAAACGGAGTGCGGGTCCATATCACATGAGCCAATGACGTTTTAGAGAACAGCGACATCTGTGCGAATCAACGTTTTAGCGTTTAACGGGGCCGCGCGAGTTAACCCAACAGCTTCGCGGCGGCCAACTCTTATTCGGTGAAACGTGGGCGTTCGCCAAAAAACGTCATTCTACCAATTGAGTGCCTCCCGTCTCTGCGCGCGGGTATGGGCTCGCGAGCATGATCACGTGCGAGCACCGACAGGATGAAAACTGATCAGAACGGCAGGCGGGCTGTCCCGCCTGAACTCTGTACATACACGAGAACACTCGGCGTCTCTCTAGCATATACGATATATGCGGGCGCAACCACCGTGGGCGCAACCAAGGCACAGCGGGGTGCAACGAGCGTGTGCAACCAGCACTAGACTGTCCGTGTCTAAAGCCCTTCGATAAAATGTACGCTCGCTGTTTCTTACAAGTAGCGCCAACCAGCGAACGAATCATCTGCCGCCATTTGCTTCCAAGGGCCGTTCAGTAGACCGATCTCACCAGCCAGTTTGACCACGCCACCGCTGCCGCAATGCATCGAGGGAACTTTAGTCTTCCTGCACGTGCGACCACTTCGCTGGAGCTCTGCGCGTGTGGAGCACGAAACGGCACGAGCCCTCGCATGCACGGCCGTCTGCCTGCTGTAAACTAAAGTTATGGCGGCGTCGCGCATGCGCCGAACGCTTAGTGAGATCGGTCTGTTCAGTGCCTCACCGCCATTCCGCACCGTAAACATTCAGCGTTCCGTACCGTTAACATTAGTCATAGCTGCGACGCCATGCAGATACGTCCATTTCTGCACGTTCTAGACATTATCTGTCGCTTGCTCGCATATATCTTTAATCTTTGTTTAGAAAGACCGAGAGAGACCAGACCGGCTTTTAAGCCTCTTGGGACGTCTTAGGACCGGATACGCTGCATCGCATCCGGTCCAGACGTCGCAAGAAGCTTAAAAACCGGGCTGGTCTCTCTCGGTCGTACTCGGTCGCATATGTGTGAACGGCGCTTTAGGCTTAAAGGGGCCCTACAATCATATCTAAGCGTCTCCCTTTTTTTTGCGGTTTCCACGTCCCTCGGGGTTCGGGCAAGACAGCGGGCACGGAGGGAGCAACTAAATATCAGTGAGTCATATTTTGGGAAAATAAGCGCCGAAAAAACACGGACAAAGAGTAGATTGACAACGACACAGGGCGCACTCTCAACTGAATTTATTAGGAAAAAACACAAACTTATATACCAATGGGAGCACACTATCAGACACCACACGTCACGTTAGTCTCCGCCCAGACCACGTTTCAAATATTCAAACTCATTCGTAGACAGAGCCAATGATGTATCGCTAATGCATTTTTTACCCCTTCTCCTAATCTCAAATGCCTCGTGAAGCTCGCGTGACACTTTGTTTCTGTACCTCGCCAATATTTTAGTGCTGTCAAATGATGGGTCGCAAGTGCATCTTTTGCAATGTACAGCCAAATGCCCTGACGGTGTAGTTCTAGTTGAAGCGGCGTGCTCGCGGACCCGATCACTACTCTTTGTCCGTGTTTTTTCGGCGCTTATTTTCCCACGATGTACCAACTGGCCCATCTAAGCATTTTATTGCGAGTCATATTTTAACCGGACGATGCGGAAACCTCCTCCACCTACGGGGGCGACCCGCGGTGCCTTTTTCGTCGAAATACAAACTATAAGTGGCGCGAACCGTTTCAATTATTTATAAAAGCGGTTTTTGTTCACTTTTTTAGATCAGAAAAGAAACAAATGCAGTTTATAAAGTACGGGGGGGGGGGGGGGGTTCCCCTCTTTCTCTGACTCTCGTTTGTGTACCCGCCTAGAAGATTAGCCCGTCGCTCAAAATTCAGACAAAAGTTGCTTTCCCCAACCCGTTCACCCCGAAGCTGACAGTGCTGTGGAAGCTACGTGCTCGTTGGGCCAGCCAGACTTGCCGCGTGATCACGCTCCTTCGCGCATACCCACGGGCAGAGAATGAGGTCAGGTGATGAAAGGGAGGCGGCTGATTGGTCCGGCAAGCGCGTAGGTTCCACCACAACGTCAGCTTTGGGGTGAAGGGCCGGTTTCGTGTGAGGTGCGTTTGGACCCGATGACGCGGTTTTGGAACGGCGGATGTATCGCAGTGAAAAGGCAGAGAGCTTACGAAGGGGAGGAGGTACGTAATAGTCCGCTGTGTTTTCAAATGTTCGCGCTGAAGGTCAGGCTTTTGACTTTCTACCTTTTTTTTTTTTTTTTGGCCCACTGAACGATGTGTTATTAGTAAAATCCCAATTTAAAACGATTTATCCGAACCCAAAATTCGTTTCATGGGCCTTTAAAGGGATACGGAAAAGAAATGTCTGAACTTTTATATCTTTGTTTAGATGTGGTCCATGTTGTGCTCGCAGCCCAAAAACGCTAGCCTAGACTATATATACTGTTTCTGGGCTGCAGGCAAAGAAGTCGAGAAAACTCATTTTAAAACGAATGAACAGTTTTTAAAATTGCGTCTGGTGGCGGTCTGCGAAGCTCCGTTGGAATGCCGTCACGTCAGGAGTTCCTAAGAAGCAGTTCCAGATCAAGGCAGTATGGTTCTCTCGTGGACTTATACTCAGTCCCGAACGTGACTTGACGGAGAACGCTCATAAGCTGAGACCGCAGCTAAAGCTACAAGCGCGAGATAGCCCGCGCTCCCACGACTTTGAAAAATGCATTTCTAGCACGAGCGCTCGTTCTGCGGAACCATGCTTGAAAGCAGCGACCTCGAGGTCCCGTGGGTGCGGCACTGGCTGCAGTCTCAGTTCCACAGTGCTTCTACAACGTGCATTCCACACCATCGAGATCGCCGTTCTTTGGACACGTTAGGTAGGAGCTTGAACTGATTGACCTTTGTCGGACCAACTAGTGCCACTAGCTGGCTCTATACTCCGTTTGACGTTATGTTGTACCGCAGCGAAGGCTAGAAGCGCGAGCTCATAGCGTTGGCAGCTGCCCTTGGTGTACGAGAGCTTGTGCCGCCGACATGTGCCCTAAAGCAAGGAGCTCGCGCTTGTAGCCTTTCCTGCGGTACAACACAAGGTGAAACAGAGTATAGAGCGAACCATGCATAACAACAAGACAAAGTGTCCACGCGTTTCGTGCGGTGCGTGACCGCGCGGTGACCAAATGCATTGTCCGTCGAAGAAGTGGATGTTGCACGTGAGGTATAAGCACCGGCAACCATTCGAAAGGCGGCACCAGGCCACGGACGACCTGCCTCGGAGACAACGTCGGTCCACCCCAGCAGACGACATGTTTCTCAAAGTTTTTCTTCTGCTCTGCATTGCCGGTGAGCAGACCACCCGTCCGCCGTTTCTCACAGTGGAGATCAGTCAACCTAAGCCAATATTTGTGCAGTTGAGATGAAGCATGAAGCTCGTCCGAGCAGTTAGAAACAACTTCAAA